TAATCAATGGGTCAGAGTGGTTCATCAGACATTAATCAATGGAGTCAGAGTGGTTCATCAGACATTAATCAATGGAGTCAGAGTGGTTCATCAGACATTAATCAATGGAGTCAGAGTGGTTCATCAGACATTAATCAATGGAGTCAGAGTGTCCATCAGACATTAATCATGGTGTCGAGTGGTTCATCAGACATTAAACAATGGAGTCAGAGTGGTTCATCAGACATTAATCAATGGAGTCAGAGTGGTTCATCAGACATTAATCATGGAGTCAGAGTGGTTCATCAGACATTAATCAATGGAGTCAGAGTGGTTCATCAGACATTAATCAATGGAGTCAGAGTGGTTCATCAGACATTAATCAATGGAGTCAGAGTGGTTCATCAGACATTAATCAATGGAGTCAGAGTGGTTCATCAGACATTAACAATGGAGTCAGAGTGGTTCATCAGACATTAATCAATGGAGTCAGAGTGGTTCATCAGACATTAATCAATGGAGTCAGAGTGGTTCATCAGACATTAATCAATGGAGTCAGAGTGGTTCATCAGACATTAATCAATGGAGTCAGAGGGTTCATCAGACATTAATCAATGGAGTCAGAGTGGTTCATCAGACATTAATCAATGGAGTCAGAGTGGTTCATCAGACATTAATCAATGGAGTCAGAGTGGTTCATCAGACATTAATCAATGGAGTCAGAGTGGTTCATCAGACATTAAACAATGGAGTCAGAGTGGTTCATCAGACATTAATCAATGGAGTCAGAGTGGTTCATCAGACATTAATCAATGGAGTCAGAGTGGTTCATCAGACATTAATCAATGGAGTCAGAGTGGTTCATCAGACATCAATCATGGAGTCAGAGTGGTTCATCAGACATTAATCAATGGAGTCAGAGTGGTTCATCAGACATTAATCAATGGAGTCAGAGTGGTTCATCAGACATTAATCAATGGAGTCAGAGTGGTTCATCAGACATTAATCAATGGAGTCAGAGTGGTTCATCAGACATTAATCAATGGAGTCAGAGTGGTTCATCAGACATTAATCAATGGAGTCAGAGTGGTTCATCAGACATTAATCAATGGAGTCAGAGTGGTTCATCAGACATTAAACAATGGAGTCAGAGTGGTTCATCAGACATTAAACAATGGAGTCAGAGTGGTTCATCAGACATTAAACAATGGAGTCAGAGTGGTTCATCAGACATTAATCAATGGAGTCAGAGTGGTTCATCAGACATTAAACAATGGAGTCAGAGTGGTTCATCAGACATTAAATCAATGGAGTCAGAGTGGTTCATCAGACATTAAACAATGGAGTCAGAGTGGTTCATCAGACATTAAACAATGGAGTCAGAGTGGTTCATCAGACATTAATCAATGGAGTCAGAGTGGTTCATCAGACATTAATCAATGGAGTCAGAGTGGTTCATCAGACATTAATCAATGGAGTCAGAGTGGTTCATCAGACATTAATCAATGAGTCAGAGTGGTTCATCAGACATTAATCAATGGAGTCAGAGTGGTTCATCAGACATTAATCAATGGAGTCAGAGTGGTTCATCAGACATTAATCAATGGAGTCAGAGTGGTTCATCAGACATTAAACAATGGAGTCAGAGTGGTCATCAGACATTAAACAATGGAGTCAGAGTGGTTCATCAGACATTAATCAATGGTCAGAGTGGTTCATCAGACATTAAACAATGGAGTCAGAGTGGTTCATCAGACATTAAATCAATGGAGTCAGAGTGGTTCATCAGACATTAAACAATGGAGTCAGAGTGGTTCATCAGACATTAAACAATGGAGTCAGAGTGGTTCATCAGACATTAATCAATGGAGTCAGAGTGGTTCATCAGACATTAAACAATGGAGTCAGAGTGGTTCATCAGACATTAAACAATGGAGTCAGAGTGGTTCATCAGACATTAAACAATGGAGTCAGAGTGGTTCATCAGACATTAATCAATGGAGTCAGAGTGGTTCATCAGACATTAAACAATGGAGTCAGAGTGGTTCATCAGACATTAATCAATGGAGTCAGAGTGGTTCATCAGACATTAATCAATGGAGTCAGAGTGGTTCATCATACATTAATCAATGGAGTCAGAGTGGTTCATCAGACATTAATCAATGGAGTCAGAGTGGTTCATCAGACATTAATCAATGGAGTCAGAGTGGTTCATCAGACATTAATCAATGGAGTCAGAGTGGTTCATCAGACATTAACAATGGAGTCAGAGTGGTTCATCAGACATTAATCAATGGAGTCAGAGTGGTTCATCAGACATTAATCAATGGAGTCAGAGGGTTCATCAGACATTAATCAATGGAGTCAGAGTGGTTCATCAGACATTAATCAATGGAGTCAGAGTGGTTCATCAGACATTAATCAATGGAGTCAGAGTGGTTCATCAGACATTAAACAATGGAGTCAGAGTGGTTCATCAGACATTAATCAATGGAGTCAGAGTGGTTCATCAGAAATCAATGGTGTCAGAGTGGTTCATCAGACATTAATCAATGGAGTCAGAGTGGTTCATCAGACATTAAACAATGGAGTCAGAGTGGTTCATCAGACATTAATCAATGGAGTCAGAGTGGTTCATCAGACATTAATCAATGGAGTCAGAGTGGTTCATCAGACATTAATCAATGGAGTCAGAGTGGTTCATCAGACATTAATCAATGGAGTCAGAGTGGTTCATCAGACATTAATCAATGGAGTCAGAGTGGTTCCAGACATTAATCAATGGGTCAGAGTGGTTCATCAGACATTAATCAATGGAGTCAGAGTGGTTCATCAGACATTAATCAATGGAGTCAGAGTGGTTCATCAGACATTAACAATGGAGTCAGAGTGGTTCATCAGACATTAACAATGGAGTCAGAGTGGTTCATCAGACATTAACAATGGAGTCAGAGTGGTTCATCAGACATTAATCAATGGGTCAGAGTGGTTCATCAGACATTAATCAATGGAGTCAGAGTGGTTCATCAGACATTAATCAATGGAGTCAGAGTGGTTCATCAGACATTAATCAATGGAGTCAGAGTGGTTCATCAGACATTAATCAATGGAGTCAGAGTGGTTCATCAGACATTAATCAATGGAGTCAGAGTGGTTCATCAGACATTAATCAATGGAGTCAGAGTGGTTCATCAGACATTAATCAATGGAGTCAGAGTGGTTCATCAGACATTAATCAATGGAGTCAGAGTGGTTCATCAGACATTAATCAATGGAGTCAGAGTGGTTCATCAGACATTAAACAATGGAGTCAGAGTGGTTCATCAGACATTAATCAATGGAGTCAGAGTGGTTCATCAGACATTAATCAATGGAGTCAGAGTGGTTCATCAGACATTAACAATGGAGTCAGAGTGGTTCATCAGACATTAATCAATGGAGTCAGAGTGGTTCATCAGACATTAAGCAATGGATGTCAGAGTGGTTCATCAGACACATTAATCAATGGAGTCAGAGTGGTTCATCATACATTACTCAATGGAGTCAGAGTGTTCATCAGACATTAATCATGGAGTCAGAGTGGTCATCAGACATTAATCAATGGTGTCAGAGTGGTTCATCAGACATTAATCAATGGAGTCAGAGTGGTCATCAGACATTAATCAATGGTGTCTAAGGAGTGGTTCATCAGACATTAATCAATGGAGTCAGAGTGGTTCATCAGACATTAAACAATGGAGTCAGAGTGGTTAATCAGACATAATCAATGGAGTCAGAGTGGTTCATCAGACATTAATCAATGGAGTCAGAGTGGTTCATTCAGACCATTAATCAATGGAGTCAGAGTGGTTCATCAGACATTAACCAATGGAGTCAGAGTGGTTCATCAGACATTAATCAATGGAGTCAGAGTTGGTTCATCAGACATTAATCAATGGAGTCAGAGTGGTTCATCAGACATTAATTATGGAGTCAGAGTGGTTCATCAGACATTAATCAATGGAGTCAGAGTGGTTCATCAGACATTAATCAATGGAGTCAGAGTGGTTCATCAGACATTAATCAATGGAGTCAGAGTGGTTCATCAGACATTAATCAATGGAGTCAGAGTGGGTCATCAGACATTAATCAATGGAGTCAGAGTGGTTCATCAGACATTAATCAATGGAGTCAGAGTGGTTCATCAGACATTAATCAATGGAGTCAGAGTGGTTCATCAGACATTAATCAATGGAGGTCAGAGTGGTTCATCAGACATTAATCAATGAGTCAGAGTGGTTCATCAGACATTAATCAATGGAGTCAGAGTGGTTCATCAGACATTAATCAAGGATGTCAGAGTGGTTCATCAGACATTAATCAATGGAGTCAGAGTGGTCATTCAGACATTAATCAATGGAGTCAGAGTGGTTCATCAGACATTAATCAATGGAGTCAGAGTGGTTCATCAGACATTAATCAATGGAGTCAGAGTGGTTCATCAGACATTAACAATGGAGTCAGAGTGGTCATCAGACATTAACAATGAGTCAGAGTGGTTCAAAGGAGTCAGATGGTTCATCAGACATAATCAATGGAGTCAGAGTGGTTCATCAGACATTAATCAATGGAGTCAGAGTGGTTCATCAGACATTAAACAATGGTGTCAGAGTGGTTCATCAGACATTAATCAATGGAGTCAGAGTGGTTCATCAGACATTAATCAATGGAGTCAGAGTGGTTCATCAGACATTAATCAATGGTGTCAGAGTGGTTCATCAGACATTAATCAATGGTGTCAGAGTGGTTCATCAGACATTAAACCAATGGAGTCAGAGTGGTTCATCAGACATTAATCAATGGAGTCAGAGTGGTTCATCAGACATTAATCAATGGTGTCAGAGTGGTTCATCAGACATTAATCAATGGTGTCAGAGTGGTTCATCAGACATTAATCAATGGAGTCAGAGTGGTTCATCAGACATTAAACAATGGTATCAGAGCGACCTCCGAAATGAAGTGATCAGTCTTTAATGACATACCTGGCTGTCTTGAAAAAGGTCTTCTAACCCTAACCCAAGGTCTTCAATCAGGCACCTGGCCACTGCATCTCTTTTTCCAACACTCTGGGCCTGTGAGGAAATGCATTTTAGTGACAAGACTTATTTCTGCATTTTCATATTCTTGAATGAAACATTTAAATAAATGTACCTCATCAATTGTGCTCAGAAGAGGGCGCATCCTGGAGCCAGCATCTCCTCTTTGGCACGCATCAGCTGGAGCGAGTGGTGTTAGTGGACCCATCCAGTTTCAGCATCAAAGTCTCTTCCAGTGAAAGAGTTGTTATGTGTCGGAACTCCTCCTTGATCTAATAAAGAGCATCGGGGACAACACTCATTACTCACAACAGTGAGTTGAAATGGGAATAATAAACGTAGTGTTCTCACCTGAGCCTCATTGAATAAACCATCTCTCCTTGAAGACACGTGGGCTGAGGGTCACCACCTCCACTCCACTACGAATTGTCTGCAGGATTTAAAATGTATAGGACTTAGGTGTCGTCTCTGAGGATGTTACACTTATATTCACATTTCTTACACTGAACATTACCAACAAAATAACACAATTAAACTGTTTTATGTAGAGAAATGCTAAAATATATAACAATGAGCTTTGGCTCTGCTCCGTGGTAATCTCTCCAGTCCTCACGATAATATACAGTAAGCTTAATGTAAACATAAGTCTATAGGCTATTGCTGCAGCTATACCTCAAAAAAGACAAATGAATCATAAATCATTATTACTGTGGCTTGGCAGAATATACGATGGTTCTTTTTCACTAAGAGATAGTCGCGAGATAGTTGTCTCAGTATTTATCATTTCATGCACGCTCATATGAACACAGACACACGAGGAAACTGACGGCCGACGTTAGATAGACTGAGAGAGATGCTACAAGCTAGCTTCAACTTAGTTAGCCTTGTGCATCATTTGAATGTGTCCCCCGCAAACCGTTACTGTACTCAATACTACTCAACCGGGTCAGAGTTCGTCATATTACTTGAACTGACATGTTATTTAAAGGAATGCTCCACTCATTAGATAATTAATCAAAACTTCAGTATTTAGTGAAACATTATGTTTAAACCATACCCTGAAGGAATCAGCGATATTCCCGGTAAATAATGATTTTATAGCTCTTTTTTATCAAAACCTGTATATTCCGTCAGGCCGCTGCCATTTT